ATACAATCTTAAACAGCAATTGTGCTAACTTAGTTTTTTGTTAGCAATTATTTCAAAATTATGTATAAATATAGAGTAGTATATAAAACAAGTTTTTAGTGTACAATTACTTATCGTACTAATTTTTAAAATAAATGTGAAATAAACAATATGTTTTTTAATTCAAAATGCTTATATTTTAATATGCACCAGTGCAATGTTATACTAAATGCAATTTTTTTACTCAACTCCCCACCAATTAAATTAAATTTTTAAATTAGAATTAAATTTCAACTTAAAAAATTTAATTAACTCCACTTTTAAGCCGTTCATTTAAATTTGTTTTTGAAGTGAGAAAAAAGATATTGTCTTAAATTTAAATGTTGTGTTTTAATTTAACTTAATACAAACTGAAATAAAACATTAATTCAACTTCTAATAATTGTTATTGTATATATTAGTATCACATTGACATTCAAAACTAAGTATATGAACTTAACAGTTTAAATTTAATTAATATTATTATCAGTTGTAATAATAACGCCAGGTCTTTCTAATTCTTGTTCCTCAAGTTTAGATATTAGCATGTCTCTCATAAAATCAATGTATTGTTGCTTTTGCTGCGACGAAGCAGAAAAAAGTGACCACCGGAATGTAAAACTTCAATCCTCTTCTCCTCTTCAAAAACATTTGCTAATTTCTCACTCATTTCTGGAGTTATAATTTTATCATTAGTTCCATATATATGCAAACTCGGTATTGTTAGAATGTCATCATAATAATCTTTGTGAGGTAGGCTGCCTGAACAAAATCCTGCGGCTACGATTGCAAACTTAAAATTAGTTTTCAAGCAACAACGATTTTGTAAATATAATATTAATCCCACGAAGCAGGCACCTTGGGAGAATCCAAGAATTCCATCAAAAGGACCTAATTCTTCATAGGCTTTTTCTATTAGTTGTAAAGATTCTCCGAACCAATTGCTGGTCCACCCTGTCTATCACCTTTAAATGTTACATCATTTCTATTAAACCACCAACTATATTGATCAGTTTCTACAGACTCTACATCTTCTAATACTCCAAATTCATCCACTACTTTGTGGGGTCCAGTAATATATATAAAATCAGCATATTTTTGCACGATTTTTCTAAAAGATCCTGTTTTTCCCTTTGAAAACTGGTCCACTTTGACGATAACCATGCAATGCTAATATTTTCAGTTTTTGTTGTGCCATTTATAGTAGTTTTACTATAAATTGCTCTTTTATTTGGTTTTCTCAACGCAATATGTTCAATTTAATTGAGATGTTTATTAAATAAGTTCTCAGATTTTAATAGAAGACAGAGATTATTATTACATATAATTTAATTAATTTGAAAATATAAAAGTGGAGTTATATTATATCATAACCTACAAAATATTTGATTTTTATCAATGAACTAGAATGAGAAATGAACAAGATATTTGACAGTGGATTAATGCCATTTAATATTGACGGTAGCAAGCTATATAAAGTAAATTAAGCTAACATTTTAGTCACATACTAAATGGCGCGAGTAGGATAACTGGCCATCGTCTAGATATTATCCTATTATACTGATAATTGGATTTTTGATTAGGATGGTACAGAAAAAAATAATTAATATCATGATTAATTGCGAGAACTTGCAGATTTTGGTGTAAGAAGTGAGATTTAGCAAATCACGATAGAAGTTTGAAAAATTCGCGCGCCCATTATTCAAAATTTTAATGAATTTTTATAATTAAATCACTTTTCCTAGTCCCCTAATCCTATATTTTTTTTGTGATGTTCGTTAATATCGTGAGTTTACTTTGAGAGACATTTTACATTTTCTTGAAGTTCAACATGTGAACTGAACGTGCTTGCACTATCTTAATAGTTTTTTAATATTTACAGTGTACAAGCGTATATTTTATTGGCTGAAAATTCAATCTCAAACATGTAGAAATTGAGCATCAAACATTTTGAGGGACAATACACAGCTGAGATTTCATATTAAGATAATTAATTAATCATTTAATTAAATGATTTCTTAAGTTGTTTACTTCCTCAGCGCCCGCAGCCACTTTGTTCTAGCGATTGTCCAGATTTAGCGTTCATTTTACTTGAGCCTACTTCCTACGTTTCCTTTGTTAATTTATCTCCGTGAGCTCGGATGCTAAAATATGGATGAAATTGTAGAATAGCGAAACGAGCGAAACGGTTAGAATATTTCTTTGAATTGTAAGAATATTTCTTTGAAAATAATATAATTCAAAAAACAACAGTTAGTATTTGTAATGATGATCTGAGGAGAAAGAAAAGAAAAATATTTATAATATTTATTTCTATGAAGGACATTCCAATCGTGTATGAAAATAGGCCTAACTACATAGATAAGTAAACATAAACTAACTAATACTAACTACTATGGCTGAAATTATTAACCAACTAATTGAAAATGATCTATATTTCATTATAAAGTTGATACATATCAAATTTTCTATATCCATACATCCTAAACATGTTAAGATAAGTCGCATTTAGTGCTGTTTAGTTTTACGCTATTTTTTAACATTTAAGCATCAATTAAGCGTTAAGCGGGTAGTTTTTACTTATGTTTATTTATCTCTTGGTCCCTAAATAATAAATATGAATTATTGGTTAGATTTTGGTGAAATGTTAAGCTGAAAGCGCCCCCTCTTACAACAGTTTCCAATAACTGTCAAAAAACTTCTAGTTGGCATCACGTCGTCGCTGATGCCAACGTAAGGAAATAAAAATATTGATGACGTCTTGTGTACGTGTAAAAGCCAGCAAAAAAGTTGTATGCGTGTCTTGTGTTTTCAATATATAGAATTGTGGACAACTGTGTTACGTTAAATAGTTTATTTCGCTGAGAAAGGTCTTACTAAATTTATTAATAATGGTAAGATACTAAACGTTCTAAATAATGATTCTTGGTATAAAGTGATAGAAAAAAATCATCTTGTTAAATCTGTGATATTTTAGTGGTTAATAATTGATATCTTGTAAAACCATGATATTCTGGTGATTGATTGTAACAACTTTGAATAGTGATGTATTAAAAATAGTCTTGTTCTATTAGTTCGTTTTTATCTTTTCATCGTACTTTAATTGTTAGAATACGTTGTGTTAATTTTGTTTAAATTTCTGTAACATCAAATATTTTGTTTAAAGGATTGAAATTTATATTATGAACTCATTTAATTTATGCACTATAGGTATATCTTAAAAGAGATCAAATTTTTATGTTACATTCATAGACTATTACATATATAATGAAATAATCATTACATATGTATCTACGAATAAGAACTACTGTGATCTTCAATTATAATTTCAACTAAATAGCTGGCAATAACTTACAGCCTGCTCCAGCAAGTTCAACATCTGTAGGGTCTAGCAGTAGGTCACCCAGCAAAGCAGGTGTTCCTCGAGGTGGATCAGGAGGTACAGTTAAACAAAGAAAAAATGCTCCAGCAACGTCTGCTCGCAACCACAATACTGGCACCTCATCAGGAGGTATGTGGAGGTTCTATACAGATGATTCCCCAGGAATAAAAGTGTAAGTTGATTGATGTAATGTTGATCCATATTGTGATTTGATTTTTCATTTAAACATTTTTTCATTCAACATATTTATTTTGGAATTATAAGAATGTAAACTTATATTGCAGAGGCCCTGTTCCCGTTCTTGTAATGTCTTTGCTGTTCATTGCTTCAGTATTTATGCTACATATTTGGGGGAAATATACAAGATCTTAAATCATTAAATATCATAAAATCTTTTTATACCCTATTTAAACAAGTGAATATTTTACATCTTACGGTATATGTGTGAATGGAGTTATCAGTTTATTCTGAGTATAAAATCTACTGTAAGAACTTTCACAACTGTTTTCATTAGATATTTATTTATAACTTTATAAAACTAAGTAATTTTATAAAACAATGAAAATATAATAATGAGTTTTATTCATCTTGAAATACACAATTAGTTATAAATATTACTTATAATTATTTATGAATGCACTCGACAGATGCATTCATAAATACACACTCAAACACAAATATGTATATATATATATATATATATATATATATATATATATATATATGTTGGTAAAACAGGTTGATAATAAAAATAAATAATCTAAATTTTGTTTCTTAAAGTGAATTTATAGATCCATATGTTTCGAGTCCCAATTCAACTCTTCTTCAGTGGAATTAGAACTAAATATATATATATATATATATATATATATATATATATATATATTTTGTATGATTCTGAATTATATACACATATATATATATATATATATATATATATGTGTGTGTGTGTGTGTGTGCGTGTGAATTTAGTTTTGCTTTACTAAATAAATAACTTAAATAAAATGTTTAATTTGAATGTGAGACTTCAATTCTTTTTTGCACTATGTTCCACCCCAAATTTTACATTGGAATAGTATTATAGCATGTAATAAAACATTACCATATTGGTATTATAATGCGACATGCGATAAAAATACATATTTATTTCTAAATTAAACCACAATATGTACTTATTTTATTCATTTCTATGCTTGATGCGCTTCTCGTTAGACATAAGCTCATCAGCGCCGTATGTTCGTATTGTGAAATATTTTAGCGAACCTACTAGCAATGACAGCAACCATATACAAATGTCATTAATCTTGTGCCAAAAGTTACATTTTGTGTCGTCCAATTATTTTCAACTTTTATACTAAATGTAACCATGGTACTATCTGGTATATGTTATAATATCCAACTGTATCCTCTAAAAGAATTAAGTAAAATGAATTATTTGCATTTTATATTTAAGCATAATAAACATCATCAGTAAAGTTTGGAACATGATGTTCAGAATAAACGAAAAGTTTTGAAGCTATATCAGCAAATATAGAAGACCAATACTCGAATACTTTAGCTTACCAAAAATTTTTGTTGAGACATAAATAAATTTGAAAGCAATCCAAATCTGTAGATGTATCAGGTTGGTTATCACTCCAACTGAAATATCGACAATAGTTAGTCCCATGGATCTCATTTTCATTGTACGGAGTTTTTACTATAGCAAAACTAAATAAAAAATCTTAAATTATAAGTTGTTATATGTATGAATACTTCAGTCACATTTAACCCCTTTGTTGCGTAACAGTTGAAATTGTTATCTTCATTTAGATTTTTTGGGTTGAAGGGTTATTTTTTGTTTAGTAACTTTCCACTTAAGGTTACCCTTACTTCACTCAATCCTTTTCTAAGTTATCTGTAATTAACTATGAGGTTACAAAAGAAAAATTCATGGATTCACAAATAAATATCTTAAAGCGTTTGTAGAGTATGACTAAATCAAATATCATTCTTAATATTAGTTACTTTAAGATTATACATTAATAGAGAAGAATAGTTATAGAACATAGGAAGTGTAGATTCTGAGGCCAGCCGCCCTCTGGACCCATAACACAGACTTCAACTTATTTCAGAAGATCAACTATGTGTTGACAAGGTTTGCATAAAGATTTTTTTTTATAACCTAGATTTAATCTCCTTTTCTGTATGATTCTATATAATTAAAGTATTAATTTATAAATATATATATATATATATACTTTTACAATACTTAAATAATATTTTCATTCCTTATAGACAAACATGTTGATCATATGTTTCATATTATGGCTGTTCAAAAAATTATTTTCATCTAGCTATCTTACCATGCGAGGTATAGATCCTCGCATGGTAATGAGTATGCAAAATTGCTTACTATTGATCACTGATGTCGAAATGATGTTAATTAATTTGAAGATGGAATATTAAAAAGAACTGATTTGATTTTTACCATCCAGTACACATCTGCAATATTGATGTCTTTAGAGTTTATTGAGTTGAGATCTAATACAAGTATTTATTAGATTATTTGTGGTAATAAGAGTTTTTATTTTAGTATTATAGAATTTGAGTTGTCATTAATTAATTTTATTCTTTTAGCTACTAGCAATTATAATTTGATGTCATTTTTTTATGTTTATGCTTCTCTTTTCTTTAGCAATGTTATAAAATTTTATAGCATATTTTTACTTTAACTAAAAATTGAAGTAACTTGCTCTAATATACAAATAGCATATGCATTAGGCTGAAAGTAACCACGTAAAAATACTACAAGAGTTAAAAAAAATTAAAGCTTTATTTATTCATAAGATACGATTCACATCGAGTCTGTTATTGATGAAGTTCTACTGCACTTGTTGTTAAAACTAATCTATTAATAACTTAAGCCTATAATTGAATAAACATGAATTTACAAAATATAAAAATTGTGCATATGTAGTCAACATAAACTTATAATAATAATAAATAGTAGTCTGCACAAAGGCAGGTCCATAAAATCAATGATTTTCTTCCCTTCCCTTGTTTATTATTCCCTTTATCATCTTATTACTATTAATTAATGACCATTGATAATTTTATAATCGTTTTTATGCATTTTTCTTTCCAAACTTGTGTTTCCATGCATCCTGGTACTGTGTTTCGGCTTTCAGTTCTCTGTATTTCCTCTTCTCATGTAAGTCATCAACCATCTGCACTATATATATAATTACAGGTTGCGGTCCAAGGGTACTCAGCGCCCGCATACTATTTGTTCATTGGAGCCCCCTTTCCTATTTTTTTTAACTGTTTCCACAGTCATTGAAATTATATGAAAAACTACGTGTAATGGCGCCCCCCCTCGCCGTTCCGCCTGCATTTTTCGCATGCATTGTATTCAGGTATATAGATATATATACAATTTTATTAATAGTTCTTACAATTTGATTATTCTTCTTGTTTTTTTTTTTTCAGACTTAATTCTTGATTGTGTGTGGACAAGATAATATGAACAAGAAGCAAGATTTTGATTGAGGTAGATAGAGATGGTACTTTACATAGATCTAGTGATGAAATTTACAATACTTTGGAACATATATTAGACAATTATTAATCAGAAGGTAATAAAGCATAAGCTTCTCGAGATACTTATTATTTATTTATTTATCCTTCACCAAGAACTTCAGCAAGATCTTTAAGACATGAACACTTAATGAAGATTTCAGGTGAAAGTGCATATTTATAATTAAATTAAAATTTAAAAATACACAATGAATAATCATAATTTATAAATAATAAATCATAGTTTATTAAATTATTCATTGTGTATTTTAAGATCAGTAAAATATTGATAAGGTGATAAGAAAAGTAAAATGTTAAACATATAAATAAATTTAATAAAAATAATCACCAAACAATAATATCAACTAATATAAGTAGTGTGCATGAATTTTAATAATTACACTAACTAGTGTATATGAATATTGAATTTCAATATTTTATATTCTCATTTAATGTTATTATATATATATATATATATATATATATATATATAATAATAATAATAAATTTAACAATATATATATATATATATATATATATATATATATATTTGATTGTTATGAATAATTGAAATAGAAAAAGTTGATCAGAATGTAACACATATTTAAGAATACATAAATTTACCTTTAAAAACCTGTTGACTTACATTTTTCCTGAAGTGCAATTGTATGCACACAGCCATGTAAGGTAGAAGATAACATTCTAGATCCTCCCCCCACGAAGTAATTGCGATTTCCATGGGGACCAGAGGCAAAGGCAAAGCGGAGGTTTTAGTCGGTGTTATACCCAGGCAATATTGAGTCCGACACACCCAGATAAAAGACCAGTCTGGGATGCGTAAATGCATTTCCTTCGCTATACAAAAAAAGACCATGTAAGGTATTGCTAACATTCAAACAATATAGCTGACTTTTAAATGTAAATTATTAAGTTTTTTCTTTTATAAAAAATAAACGAGTTTATTTTTATTTTCATCCGGTATGTACTGGTTACATATTAAACTGTAAAATATATAGTCACCATTTGTTACTCTTCTTGGCTTATAATTATGGTTGCATTGGGTGTGGTAGAAACGTAGCTTATTAAAATAACTTTTAATAAATTCTTAGGTATCATAATAATCATTATTGCACCTGTATATAATTTTTAGATCTTTATATAATATTAAAATTGTTATACTTACGAATTTAAACATATCCCTTTAAAACTTATAAATAATCACAATCACACCCAAAACAAATTGTAAAAATAGAAACGTCAAAAACTAATCCAACCAAGCGTTGCCAACAAAATAAACTTCAAGCTTAGAGAGACTGGTCCGTTACCGAGCAGATTGGTTAATTTTTAAAAAATAGCACATTTAGCGAAAAAATTGTGGATTTGTCACAATTATATATAATGATCATTATTCGGTAAAATCATATTGAACTAAAAAAATATAATTGTTATTTGTTTCGTTTAATTTGTTTAATTAGTTTAAAGAATTATGTTATTTTAAAATTCTTCAAATATTGTAATGTTTCATTTGCTAGTTATATGTAATGAAAACAAAATATAATCATCAACAGCTCATGTAATGCATTATTTTTAAGGAATGTTAAAATAGTTTGATCATTTAATTGAATGTAAATATAAATGAAATAAAGTTTTGCCAGTGGAATTTGGTTTAATTCATTTTTCATTGTAAATGAATAGAATTATTTTAATTGTGGCAATGTTTACAATTGGTTATAATAATAATATAACGATACTATTCAAGAACGGGCCGTGGAATTTTTGAATAGATGTAGATATATAATAATTCGGCCCTGCATTTAAGTTAGCTAGTGTGTGTTCGCAGTATGTTTTCGAGTTGAGACAATATACGTGCTAGATGGGCGGAGCCATGCGCTGTGGTAATTTTCTAGAAGCCGCTCAGTCGGCCAACGCCGCTTACAGAGTGAACATCTGCAAAGGAATAGTATATGTTATGTAGTGAGTGGAGTGAATAAATAAAAAGTGCATAAATGTGAATAATACACGTTACCCAATATAAACTAAAGTGATACGTATGGTATTATAACCATGTGCAAAGTTAATTGGAAAGTGGCGAACTTGAATCGGAGAGTGATGTGTTCCATAGGACTGTTTTAGTATAGCATATAAAAAATGTGTCTATTGAGGTGGTGTGTAAATTCAATTTTTGCCACGTAGTGAAGTGAAAAGCGTAATATTTCCTAATGAAGAGTTCGGAGCAAGATGGTTAGAGAGACTCGGCACCTTTGGGTCGGAAATTTACCCGATAATATACGCGAGGACCGAATACGAGAGCATTTTAAACGGTAAATTATTCAACGTGTCGTTGTTGTTAAGTGTTAATAGTTTGGTATTTGTGATTAAGTATGTGTATTGTTTTTCCATCGGAGGATGCGATATCTAGTTCTTCAATTTTCTAAATGTGTTCTAAGTTTGCGTGCTTATATGGAATTGTGTTATGTGCTCTTCGGGGCTAGTTCTGTTCCGCGTAGATGTTTGGATACGTTCACCCGCAATTGAAAGGCTCGACCAAGGGAAAATGTTAAATAAGTGCCTTTTCCTATTGTGCGAATCGACAGTGTGACCTGACCAGTAGGGAATATTATGTGCTTGTATTTTTCATTTCACAGCTTCACTACTCGCCGAACCTCTCGAGGATTTTGTGAGTTCATTCCAATTTTAACACTTTGCCAAACAAACATTTTTCCTTATTATTTTCCAGACACGAGCATTTTAGAGTTCACAGACCATAAAAGATATTTATTCTGTATGTTTCCATACTAGGCAGTTCTAATTGTGCAGTATTTAGAAAATAAATAGGAAAATTGAACTTTTTTTAAATAATTTAACGAAAATTGGTTAAAAAAATGTTTAAACATGATTTATCTATTTGCTTTGTGATTATTGTGTAATTTTTTTAGAACTGCAATATCTAGTAACGAATCGTTCAGAATCGATATCTTATTTATTATTACTTTGTTTTCGAATTATTGACTGCTAATATTTCGAGTATATATATTTACAGAGTCTATTAATCGGGCATAATATCAATAATTTTTATTAATTTATTGATTGATAGTTATAGCCGATTATTAGTCACTGTTAATACATATGCCAATATCATTATCTATAAATTTCTATATAATATGTATGTCATATAATCATTATATTATTTATTCTGAATTTAGTCTTATTTTTTCTCAATAAATTGTTCATTAATATTTTATTTTCTTCATTCTACGTTTCTGGGGTATTCTCTGACTCGGGAACTATTAAAAACGACCTATAATTTTTTTATACGATTATGCACTTCTTAACTATAGAAAAATTTTAAAAAAGTCGTTTCGCCTATGAAACTGCAAATAAAGTCAGTCGTTCGTTAAATGTTAAATTTTACATTTACTATGAATTGTATTTGAAGATACGTTGTGCTATAGATGTTTACATTTGGGAATACGTATGACGACTAAAATTATCGTTGCAAGTCTCACCGTCACTCGTCGGTCTAGTTAAGCTTAATAAACCCAGAAAGGAGATTGTTTGCAGAATCAATTTTATAAAAAGTACCAAAAAGCAATCAATTTTAGAACAGACACACAAACTTTACATGGTTTTTTACAATTTTGTTGAGCAAGCGAACAATAATCCACAAGCAGAAGATTACAGATGGTTCACAGACGGGCGTAAAATTACAAATGGTACACTTAAACGAAGAATTTGTTAAGAAAATGAATTCATAATTTTAGTTTTCATACATAATCGCAAACGTTTCATAAATCTATAGCTCGGCGTGTTACGTACGTAAAAAATATTTTTTTTTAATTTTGCAATAATTTTAAAAAACTGTATACTTGTATGAAAAATAATTTTGTGTGTATTTAATAGTTACTCAGGAGGTCATTATCTCCGAAACGTAGAATAAAATAAATGAAAAATGAATAATTTATAGAGGAAAAAGTAGGAATTTAGTTCACGAAATTGAAATCATAAATAATAATAACCATCTAGAAAAACACTGTATGTATATATATTAGGGTGGTCCTTAATATGGACATTTTCGAATTTCCTTGCTCTTAGGGTCTCAAATGCTTCTAAATTGGTAAAAGAATCCTCTATAAGTTTTAGATCTTATTATTGTCTTTTAGATAGTGCGCAATTCAATCATAGTTTTGTATGGAAATAGCATGGGAAAATTTTCAAAAATTAAAAAAATGTTTTTTAGATATAACTTAGCGAACAAATGAATGAGTTTTATTCAAAATTCGACGATCTATAAAACGTTATAAAAAACCTGTTTTGCAGAGCGTCGAATTTTCAATAAAAAATGACACGACTTGTCACTTTTAATTCAATTTTAATTAAAGTTTTTGAAATTTTTTCCATGCTATTTTCATACGAAGCTTCGATTGAATTGCGCACTATCTGAAAGTTAATATTAAGAGCTAAAACTTTTAGAGATTTTTTTTATCAACTTGGAAGCATTTTAGCCCCTGAGAGCAATAAAATTCGAAAATTTCCATATTAAGGACCACCCTTATATATATATATATATATATATATATATATATATACATTTTTAAAATTTTCCCCTTGCATTTCAATTGACAATCTGAGCTTTGTATATATATATGTATATTTATTTAGTTATTTATTTACTGTCGACGTTTCGGAACTAGGTACGTTCCATCTTCAGGACATCTGTCAAGAAACATGATCTTGATGAGATTTAGGCAAACAATATGTTTAAGAAAAGAAAATGGATTTTTTAAATTAGTTGAAAAAATAATATACAGAAATATGATAATATGATCAAAATGAAAATGATAAAAATAAATGAGTGGATTATCTAACAGGATCCTGTTAATAAATTAATAATAATTTCTTCAAAAAATTATTTTTCATCTATACATTTCGGCTATAACTCTAGCCGAAATTATATGTATATAATTTCTACATAGTTTCATCATCAGGTTTTTTGCCAAAAACATTTTTTTAACCAATATTAAGTGGTAAA